CCTGTCCTATGGACCATAACGATTCTAGAAACGTTACAGAATGTATTTCATCCTGTCCTATGGACCATAACGATTCTAGAAACGTTACAGAATGTATTTCATCTTGCAGAAAACAACAACAACAAAACGCTACAAATGTAAATTTTACCTCATATTGTACTCCACTCCACCTTTATTTGAAGTAACGAACTAAAACGTGTAGGTGACGTGTATCAGTTCTGATTTGGTTTGTTTTGAATTTCGCGCAAAGCTACATGAAGGCTATCTACACTAACCGTCTCTAATTTAGCAGTGTAAGAGTAGAGGGGTGCCAGCTATTTATCCCCACTCACCGCCAACACTTGGGCTACTCTTTTACCAACGAATAGTGGGATTAACTGTCACATTATAACGCCCCCAAGGTTGAAAGGGTGAGCATGTTTGGTGGGACGGGGATTCGAACCCGCGACCCTCAGACTGAATCACTTCTGTATTTTATACTAAGCTCTGGCTTTTACATAACTTAATTTTTTTTTATTCTTCCAACATTGTATCCCGGTGGGACAGCGGTAATATTACGGATTTACAACGCTAAAATCCGGAGCTCGAATCCCAGCAGATAGCCCAATGCAGCTTTGCTTTAAAAAAAACCTCCATTATTGTTTTGTTTGAAGTTAAGCACAAAGCTACACAATGGGCTATTTGTGCTCTGCCCAACACGGGTATCGAAACCCGGTTTCTAGCGTTCTAAGTCCGCAGATATACCGCTGTTCCACTAGGGGGCCTCTAGTGTTAATGCCCCTAGTGGCTCAGCGGGACATCTCAAAGCTTATAACGCTAAAAATCTGGTTTTGATACTCTTTGTGGGTACAGCATGGAAAGCCTATTGTACAGCTTTTTGCTTAACTACAAACAAACCAATATTAATACTAACATCCGATATAAAGAGAATTAAAATATTAACCAGGTTTATGTTATACGACAGGTTTGACTGTCTCACGTTTTAAAGCTCTCGGGAACAGCTTAATGTTTAAGGACAGACATGAATATCGGATATATTGAAACAACAAACTTATTTACTTTGTATGTGGATGAGTACACTCTATGAATTGAACGTAATCTTCTTGAAGATTCTGAAATTTTGTGGAATGTTAAATCTACCGATAATTTAACTTAAGTACAAAAATGGAGCAGCTTATTTTGTCGCAAAGCTACACCATAAGCTATCTGCGCTCTGTCCATCATGGGGATTTTGAACCCCGGATTTTATAGTTGTAAGTCCTTAAACGTCCGCTAACCAGCTGGGTAATAAAAATGGAGCAGAAAACGTTCCAAGTTTATTATAACAGGTAAAAATAAAATATATAAAAAAAAATATACAAGAAAAATTTCCTCCATTTGAAAATTTGACAAACAGTTTTATTTATCAAACGCTTATACGTTCGACTACCACAAATTTATAAAACTGCATTTTAAACTTTGTTTAATTCATGGAGCCCCCAGTGGCACAGTGGTATGTCTGCGGACTTATACTGCTAGAAATCGGGTTTCGATACCCGTGGTGGTCAAAGCACAGCTAGCCCTTTGTGTAGCTGTGTGCTTAATAACAAACAAATTTTCATGGAGGAAATATTAGAATATTTTTCAAGTCCTTTACTTAATTAATACTTTATTGGGCGAATAAATGAATAGAAATAAAGTACAATTTAAATCAAACAGTTGAAACTTCCAGAAAATTATGCCGTGGGGGCGTTATAATGTGACGGTCAATCCCACTATTCGGTGGTAAAAGAGTAGCCCAAGAGTTGGCGGTGGGTGGTGATGACTAGCTGCCTTCCCTCTAGTCTTACACTACTAAATTAGGGACGGCTAGCGCAGAAAGCCCTCGTGTAGCTTTGCGCGAAATTCAAAACAAACAAAACAAACAAGTATCGCCCCCACGGTTGAATGAACGAGCGTGTTTCGGGACAGTATTCGAACGCGCGACCCTAAGATTGCATCAGTTCCGTGTTCTATACTAAACTCTGGCTTTTACAGTTTAATTTTATATTCTTTCAATATTGTATCCCGCTGGAACAGCAGTAATTTTATGGACTTACAACGCTAAAATCCGGGGCTCGAATCCCAGCATATAACCTAATGTGGCTTTGCTCTAAAAAAAAACAAAAAAAAACCTCCAGTATTATTTTGTTTGAAGTTAAGTACAAATTGTTGTAATGTGATAGTCAATCCCATTTTTTATTGGTAAAGGAGTAGCCGAAGAATTGGGGGTTGATCGATGTTGACTAGGTACCATCCTTATAGTTTATCACTTCTCATTGACTAACAGTTAACATTGCGTGAAATTCAACAAACAAACAAGTTACACAGTAGAATAAAGAATAAAGTTCAAAGTTTTAATCGAAAGGGCGAGCATGTTTAGCGGGACGGGGATTCGAACCCGCGACCCTCAGATTGCGAGTCGAGCGACCTAACCACTTGGCCATGCCAGGCCGGGTGGGCGATACAATGTGACAGTCAATTCCACTATTCGTTGGTAAAAGAGTACCTCAAGAGTTGGCAGTGGGTGGTGTTGACTAGCTGCCTTCCCTCTAGCATGTCATTTCAAAATTACGGAGAGATAGCGTAGTTAGCACTCGTGTAGCTTTGTGTAAAATTTAAAACGAACCAATCTTTTCTCGTTTTCAAATACTCGTGTTCATCTCACAGCATAAGATATTATTTGGAAAGTTTATTGAATTCGTAAATAGTTTGATACATACAAAAATGACAGGTTGTAGACTTGCTGGTTCACAGACAACTTGAAAAGCTGGCATTTGTTTAAATGTTTTTTGTTAAAAAGAAATAAAAAATGATTTTTCTGAAAGGTTTTATACAAAGCAAATGAATGGATAGAATGGTTTAGGTTAGTGGGTATGACATCATTTTGGAAAAATACTGGTGAAAAATATGCCTATTATTCTATGTGAGCGACATCGCGACCTCAGGCGTAACTTAAAAATCCACTCATTTCTATATGAAATCACTTCCGGTTGTATTGAGCCGTACAAAGTTTAGTGAAACCATATGTTCACATATTCCCTCCTCTATAAATGTCGCGCGAATGGTGATGGTTCACATTTTTCGATAATTTTTTAACTTACACATTTCATAACAGCACAAAGCTACACAAAGCTCACCACGGGTGTCGCAACCCGGTTTCTAGCGTTGTAAGTTTGCAGACATATCACTGTTTGTTTGTTTGAATTTCGCGCAAAGCTACACGAAGGCTATCTGCACTAGCCGCTCTTAATTTAGCAGTTTAAGACTAGACGGAAGGCAGCTAGTCATCACCACCCACCGCCAACTCTTGGGCTACTCTTTTACCAACGAATAGTGGGATTGACCGTCACATTATAACGCCCCAATGGATGAAAGGGTGAACATGTTTGGTGGGAGGGATTTGAACCCGCGACCCTCAGATCGCAAGTCGAGCATACTAACCACCTGGCCATGCCAGGCCCGACATACCATTGTGCCACAAGGGGGCTTGCTTG